TGGCAACAAATGTATAAATGTGCTTAACACAATGGATGTACGTATGGATTGTGATAATTGTATGAGCCCCCCCAAAAAATGATTTTTTTTAAAAGCTGTGTTTGAATGGTATGACTTAAGGTGTCATATTATCTTCTTTGTTAAATATGTGTGTGTGTGTGTGTGGGGGGGTTATAACCTGAAGCCTTGGTGACTTAGTGAGCTACATTTTGGCCAGCTAACTGTAGGCTGAGCAGTTCAAATCCACCAGCTGGTCTAATGCAGAGAGATGAGGCTGTCTGCTCCCATAAAGATTTACAGGTTCAGAAACCCAAAGGGACAGTTCTGCATTGTCCAACAGGGTCATTATAAGTCTGAATTGACTCAATGATAGTGGACTTAGTGATATCTATTTTATTGTGCGCATGTGGAATCTTTACATCAACCAAGAGGCACTCATTTGAACAGAACAAGGAAATACTACATGGTTTCCAATCAGGAAAGGTGTGGCTTAGGGCTGTATCCTCTCACCAGATTTATTCAATTTGTTAACAAATAATCTGAGAAGCTGGATTCTTTGACGAACGTGGCATCAAGATGGGAGGAAGGCTCGTTAATCACGGGCAATGTGAAGAGGCTACAACTTTGCTGCTGGAAGAAAAGAGGACGTGAAGCACATACTGATGAAGATCAAGGCCTGCAGCCCTTGGTACACATTACAACTCAACATACGGAAAATAAAAGCCCTCACAGCTGGACCCACAGACAACACCATGATAGACATCACAAGAAAGTATTCAGGATGTCAATGCTTTCATTTTACCTGGATCCACAGTGAAAGCTCGAGATAGTTTATTATGCCAAGCTGACCGAGAAACACACGTGTGGGGTTAATTGAAGGGCAGAGGGCTAAAATGCCTCGGTGAGTCTCGCCTTTCTAGTTCTCGGGTCTCTTGCTTTGTGATGGTCGGACCAGGGTGCAGCTGCCTTAGCAGTTCCCTGCTTCAGCTTGCAAGATTGATTTCTTGCAAGACATCCCCATGGAGAAGCCACATGGACCTACCCCGATACAGCCCTGGGTGCTGGAGCAGGGCTGACAGGGCTGTCAGAGCTGACTAGGTGGCACCTAAGAGCAATAATACATATCAGAAGCTCCTGCATGGTCCAAACAGCTAACACGATTGTCTGATGAGAGATCCAACTCCAGGTACCTTTGAAAAGAGGAATACTAACAATCTAATTCTGAAAAAAACACAGTCACTAAAACTCTTATAGAGCATAGTTTCACTCTGATATATGTAGTTTGTCATGCGTTGGAATTGATAGTACTGGTTTTATACATATTGGATTGTATATAATAAATAACAACGCATGATAAATTGATTTATCAGAAAGCTTAAATACAAGATACTCAAAATGGCTATCATATAAAGGTGTTTAATGTCTTAATGACTTTAGAAATGAGGGTAAATATTTCAGTTGTATTTGTTCCTATTCTATAAAGAAGACAAAATCACTCTTTACATCATTATCCAGGGTGCACAGAGGTGGTCAAAATTAGCGCTTGATTGATGTCTCCTACCCCAAGCTATGTGCTGGTTATGCTCATGTATCATCCCTATTTGTGGGGGCATTGTGGGCTACACTTTGGGCTGCTAAATCAAGGGTCAGCAGTTCAAGTCCACCAGCCGCTTCTAGAGAGAAAGATGAGGCTCTCTGTTCCCATAAAGATGTGTCGCCTCAGAAATATGCCCGGACAGTGCTCCTCTGTCCCACGGGGCTGCTCCGCGTTGGCATCAACTTGATGGCAGTGAGCTTGTATTGGAACAGTCTTGTGAACTCCTCAAGCACACGGTCATGACAGTGTTTAGAACGGGGAGTGCTCCGCATCACACTCATCTCCCACAAACTACCTTTGAATCAGGTTCGAACTGAAGCGGACATCCTTCACGGAAAAGAAATGTGCCCACTGTTTTCCTTGGTATTTCAAGTCAGACTTGGAGTCCAACCCTCTCCCCAACTTGTATTATTACATAATTGTAATCTCAGCTCTCACTGATGGGTCAGTATTCAGGGGCCACATAAGTGTCCTCTTCGCCGCTGCCCGTCTTGTATCTACCCATGCCTGAGAAGTGGTAAATGCTCAGTAAATGTATAACAAATAAATAGATGGATGCGTGGATGGATGGATGAGGCCTCCAAAGGTCAAATCTCTCTC